GTCCACCAGGATGGCACGAGGGACAAATTTGCTTCCTGTGAAATAAAATAGGTTTGGTGTAAACATCCAAAGGTTGAAACATCCAATCTAAAAAAAAAAAAACAGATTCAGTTTCATGTTCATGAATTAGAAAATTCATATAAGTGAATTTGATTTTACAGTTGGTGCATGTAATACATATAACTAATTATAAATTAATGTATGCATAATTTATTTCCTTACTACTTTGGTAAGATGTCTGTATAGTAAATGCTGACCCTCTTTAAATAAGTGCAACATCATCCATATTCCCTGCCCTGCTTCACCCTTTTGAGGACAACAGCAGCTCCAGATAAACGGTTTTCTCTACAACCATAAAAGCACATCTGGGTATTGTTGAATGATTGTGCGAATATCCCACAATGTTAATGCATTCACATAGGGTTATGACGGATTGATGTTTAAAACCACAGAAATGCAAGCCAAATTTGTCATCTTTTAAGCAAACCGTGGACAAAAAGATGGGCAGTAATCAAGTCGGGTGAAACCTAAACCAATCTAAAATTGAAAATCTATAATGTAGCCTATAAGGCGGCGGTCAGATGGGCCTCGCCTCTGTAATAGTCAATAACTGACAGCTGCGGTCTATAGTCAAGGGAGCAGAGCTGGCAAAACCATTACCTAATACATGCATACAGTATATCTCATCAAAAACTGACTGGCACATCAAAATTCTCTGACTGACATATACAGTAGCATCATTGACTCAATTGCTTACCAGATGCCTCATTGTAATAAACATTTATCCTCTCCAGATGCAGTTCACTGTCACCTTGATAACTGCCAGTGGGGTCGATTCCGTGTTCATCACTGATCACCTCCCAAAACTGAAACGCACAAAATGTTTTACAACTGAATGCTGAATAGCTACATCATGTCCATTCACATTGGTTACTCAATGATGCAGCAGTTTTCCCATTTGACCGATGTACTGAGTCCTGCACAGAGCCACTGCAGACCTTCACCACACCCATTCAGATCAGAAGATGCCACATAAAACACAAGAACTTAAAGGATTTTCTTGCAATTTATAGCAAAGTGATTCGTAAAACACTTTGCATTCTTTATTTTACAATAAAAAAATGTAAGATACTGCTTCCACGTCTAATCTACTAAACCTTATGTGATGTATATGATCTTACCTTGGCACCGATCTGGTTGCCGCACTGTCCGGCCTGAATATGTACGATTTCCCTCATTGCGCTGCTGTGTGAGGATGCGGATGCGGCGTGTGTCTGCAGCTGATGCGGCTCTGAGCTCCTCGGTCTCCTCTTCTGTCTCTCGCCGGCAGCCAATCACGAGCCGCGGGTTTGACGCAGTGGACGACGTGCTGCAGCATCTCGTGTTCCTCCGTCACAAACGCTGACTCTGCGTTTACGCGAAAACGCCAGAAAACACACACACCTGCCTCAAAATGTTGATTAATTTGACATATACGTTTGTTGAAATCCTAGTTTTGTTTCTATTTCATATTCAAAACTAATATTTATTTATTTACTCCCACATCTTTCCTGCAGAGGGCAGCGAGACTCTACATTGCAAATGTGATAAATTTAATTTATCATAACTTTTATAACTGCCAATAACTTTAGCTTACATGCTTAGCCACGCGGAAGCCTGTGGTTACCATTTTAAACAATGTAGTGCTCAGTGTGTTGCCCTTATTAAATATTCCGAGAAGGGTTTTAAATCGATTGCTCTAAATTAGTTATTTTACTCTCCATTGGCCAAACCTCCACATTTTGATTATGTAGGCTACAATTTTCAACTATTTTAGAGGTGATGAAATTATTATGTTAAGATTATGGAATAAATTGTCGAAAAAGAAAACTGTGTTGCTATGGCTAATTTCATAACTAGCATTTAATGTGAAAAATGTTTACATTTATTTTCAAATATTTTGCATAATTTGACAAATCTTGAAATTTTACAATGATATATATATATATATATATAGGCACATGATATTCAGTTGAAAAGCTTGCTTTGGTCTTAAATATAAAATAAAACAGAAACCTGTTTGTGAGGGACAGACTTACAGTTTTTACAATGGTACGTAAATAATAAAGGTCCTAGATCATGTCATTTTCACCAATTATTTTATGGAGTTTTTATCTACTGAACTTTTTTTCCCAAAGACATTTCGTCAGCTGAAGATTTGGCTTGTTAAAGGGGTCATAAGATGCCCATTTTCCACAAGTTGATATGATTCTTTAGGGTATTAATGAAAAGTCTATAACATAGTTTGGTTAAGATTTCACAATGGTAGTGTAAAAAACACCTTTTTTACCGTGTCACAACTTGTAAAAGTGCATGTAGCATCCTATGACCCCTTTAAATGAATAATGATCCTGTGTGTCTATGCCTGAAGGATCTGACCTGTGTTTTGATAGACTTTCTCATGATCACCCAGTTCACACAATGCTTCACAAGAAACTTGAGAAAATATATCCATTTACTGGAGAATTTTGCATTCCTGGGTGTTATACTGTTGGTTGTTTAACATTTTCTATCGTAAACCAGTTGTCAAAGATAAACTATATACTGGCAATCTGCATCTTAACTCACGCCCATTCCCATTAAAACTGATGTGTCGCCCTAAAAATCATATTCAGCTTCTCTGTACAATAAAAAAACCTTTGATTTGATTGGCCATCTCAGTCATTTCCAGATTGATGAACGCTGTTATTAGACCACTGAGGCAGACCAGGCCATTTCTAATTCTAATTCTAATTCATTTCCATTTCTCTTAGCCTGTTTGGACTGCTTATCCATCTGTAGAAATGTTTCTATCCCATTTGTGGATGTGCTCAGTGTGTGTATATATATATATAATTCTGCATTATTATTCTGTAGACTGTATTTTATCAGGCAACATATTTACACATTCATCAGTAAACCAATAAATGTATCAATAAATATATTTTATTCAATAACGTATATTACGACGACACATATGACTTTATATACATGTGCATTATTTATGTTAAAAAATGTACATTAAACCCCAAAACAATCTTTTTTTTTTTTTTTTACAATCATCCTCGGTATTCTTGTTTCTTACATTCTGAGGGAATACCTGTATTAGAGATCCTTTTCAAGTAATCACAAATTTGAATTTAAAAGTTTGCATTGGCTCTAACATTCATTTCTCCTAGATCACATCAGACAGATCAGATTACTAGCTTTAAAAGAGGTCAGTTTGATGTGGTTCATATCTAGTGGTTGATCTGCAAATGTGAAGTGCACCTCAATGTTAAACACTGCACCTGTTCTCTCTTATTAACGGTCAATCTTTGCATGCTATGCATAAGACTGGCATGTCAAGTGATTCCACCTGAAAGCAAGAAGTTGCGCGAGTTGCCTATGGAAGAGTCGTCACAATATAGCTTTCTTATGTGTATTCTTAAGTGTCAAGACTTTGAACTACGGCATTTAACCTGTTCGAAATGTTAAATTGGACTGTTGTTTTTGAACTTGACCATAATGAATAATTCATAATGTCTAGTGTCAAATAGTGAGCTGAGAATTCAACGTTGTGGAGGAAGAGATTTGGCCCAAAACATACCTTCTCCAAGTAAATGAACAAATAATTCTAGCTACACAAGCACAAATTCATGTGTGGCTGTTTTGTGCTTTGAATTACAATCTTGACACTTTAGATTGCAAGTATGCATTTTTTCTCAGCATTGCTGCAATAAGCATTATAGCAGACTCTTTCAGATCAACTACTCTCATGGCAAATCAACAGTTTGAATAATCTTGAAACTAATGTGGCACAAGCACTGAAGGTAAAACTATTGCTCTCATAAACATTGATTTAATATTAAGAGCAACAATAAAAGAGCTCATGTTAAGCATGCACTGGCCGAAGATTCACGTCAGTATTTGCACACTTGTGTTAAATATTTTTCTGGCCTTATCTTTCTCCAAAATTCTTGGCTAGGAAATCAGTTTCATTAAATGCTGAATCCCTTTTGGGACTTAAGACCTTCAAAATGTGAGTCTTTGTATTGCTTTAAACAGTTTAGACAAATCTCAAAGCCAAATCATGCTAACAAGTCACATTGTGACTGCAAATGTAAAAGTGTGATTTTTCTTTTGAGATTGTTCTTTTGATGTAACATGCTTGAAAATGAATGACTCATCATTACTCATAATGTGTATATAGCAAATGTAACAACAGTAGCAAAAGCTAAAGCAGGTCAGCAGATACAGCAGAAGAAGGCCATGGTATATATTTGAGAAGAAAATGCACCGTCTTTGGAATAACTCGAAATACAAAAGATGTCATTTAAATGACAAAAATAATCAAAAACCTTTCTACAAATTTGACATACTTCAGGGCAATAATACTATTTATTGAAAGTAAAAAGAAACTAAATATTATCTGGAATGATTAAGAATATGCCACAATCATTTTAAAACATTCTTTTCATTTTATCCAAAGTAATGTTACATAAATGGAACATGGAAAATGGAAAGGGGATATTTTTAGCAATTAAAAATTGGAATGAAATATTAGTATTCTTTACTAATTTTTAACAATTTAAAAAATGATTTAAACTCATGGCATGGGTTCGCACATTATAAATATATTATTGCTGTTGGTATAAATGTACCACAAATGAAAGATGACAATTGTAGTCTCATTACGTCAACGTCATTCATTGAAAGTTTCATTTTTTTCATGTTCACATGCTTTTTTTTTTGTCACTGTGAACAATAAAGTGCCACAGACATGGTAACAAAATACCAATGGGCATACACTCATTGATACAGACATAATAACCTAAAATCTTCTTTTAAGCAGTCAGTACCACTGTACATCAGTACCACAATAGCATAAATTACAAAAGTTTTCACATTCACAATACGTCTGTTGCATACACTTGATTGAGTGTATTGTGATGAAGACACACAGCCATGAAGTACATCATCTGTATTCCTCAAAATTATTCCCCCCCTCCCCATTAGAATCTAGTGATTATCTTAAAAAGCATTAGCTTAATAAAACATACCACACAAATACCATTTTGAGCAGTCTCTGTGTAGTGTCTATTTTACATCAGGTTTTGAAATATGCATATCTGTCTGCACTTATTCTTTTGAACACAGAAACTGGTGTTTCTTCGACACCTAATTCATAGAGGTATTTGCCTTCCACTTCAAGACACATTGGCAAACATTCCCAGTGTTAAATATACAGTGTTTGGACTTTTGAGAAATTCCCTTTGATACTGGACTTCACAGATGCCGTATTCCCACCTGAATATCGCAAAATTTAATAGAGTCAAATGATTGAGAGAAAATGAGAGAATTAATCCCATTTGACTAATGTGATCCTACCTGTTGTTCATCACAATCAAACAAGCAGATATCAGTAATTACTAGACTATATCAAATTCCAGAGTGGGAACTTGTCACCATTGGTCTTAAGTGTTCATAATAACACAAGCGCAATGATAACACATGGGAATTTGGATCTAGCTGCCCAAAAAGCAGTTACTGGCACCACCGTAAGGGGCCGTTCACACAGAATGCGTCTTTACATCTAAAAACTTGGAAACATTTCGGAGGAGGCATTCTGCGCTGCACCATTTTCTGTCAAATTAAACAATTGCCATGCCAACTTACTGTCAACAAAAGCTTGCAACTCTTGCCCCGCCTCCAGGGTCGTCTGATTGGTCCGATGTTTTGGAACTGACATTGATGAGCGGCACTGTGTGTAAAAGTTGAAATTCTTTTGACACCACATCTTAAGAATGTGGCGATAGTCGGCGCCAATAGCCTTGTGGGCAGCACGCCGACAGATAGCGCCATTGCGCTTCGGGCATCCCGAGTTCGAGTCCTGGCTCACAGACCTTTCCCAATCCCGTCCCCCTCTCTCTCCCACACTTTGCTTCCTGTCTAATAACTGTCCTACCATAATAACGCCAAAAATCATGTGCGAGACGCGTCATACACATCCGTCAACTGTGTTTACATAGAAAAACAATGGAAAATAGCGTTTTGGAATAGAAAAACGCGCTCTGTGTGAACGGCCCCTAAGAAGGAGGTTTAAGTCATTGAAACCAACGGAGAGTAAAAACCCTTTGAGCATCGACCCTTATGGTTGTTCCCTTTCAGTCAAATCCTTTTATACCTTCTCCTTGCATTGCCATTCTTGGGTCATGGCTGCTTGAAAATAAAAATACTTCTAACAATGACTGGCATGAGCCCCCACGACAAGAATTTCTTCTTGATAATAAGGCTGCCCACCAAGTCTTATAGAGTGAACGTGTCCGTCATGAAGACGTCTCCCCATTGGCAGTGTTGGTTTCTGTGATGGGCAAGTCAACGTCTGAAGGTGTACCTGAGTCAATAGGTGAGGAAACTGTCAAGTTCGTCATAAGTGGGTGGCTGGATTCTGTAACAGAGTCAGTGGTTGTGGCATGGGGTGCAGCTGAACCCACATTGGCAAGAAGAGTGGTACCATTACTTAACGTTGGCTCCAATACGGCTGGTGAAGGGGGGCCAGATTCTATGGAGTTAATTGCAGGTTGGGCGACTAAATGTAACAATGGAATGCCGGGATCTATGGGCGAAGAAAAGGATTGAGTTGGGATGGCATTAACTTGACCAGACTGGTCCGATATTGGTGGTAAAGACAGTTCTGTTGGGGAAGAGGGCAGAATTTCAGTGACTAGGTGAACGGAAGAGTCTATTGAGGAAGAGGGGGGGATGTTGTTTAAAGGCGGCGTGGGTGATTGTCCAGTGGATGTGCAGAGAGGAAAGGTTTGGGTGGGACCTGCAGAGCCCACTTCAGTTAGGATGTTGAAATCATTAGCAACAGTCAAGGGGAATTCAGCAGCTGGTGTACCTATATCTAAAAGCGAAGGAGTTTGGAGATCGGAAGAAGTAGGGGACTCCAGGGAAGGATCGGTGATCAAAGGAGTTTCCACAGTTGAAGAAGGCAGAACGGCTGGAGATTCTGGTTTAGGTGTCTGAATGTAATTGATAGCGATTGGGGTTGAAGTGTTTGGGATAGAGGCAAGGAGAGGATGCTCTACGGATGAGGCAGAGGTTCCCGGCATGGATGCAGATCTGGGATACTCTTGCTGGATTTCATCTGGCTCTTGGGTAGAAGTCAATGACTTCATACTGAATATCTCTGCCTGGCCGGGGGCATCAATGAGCATCTGAAGATCGATGGCGGATGAGGCAGTAGAGTCCATAGTGGAAACAGCAGTGGCAGCTGCTTCGTGGAGAGGCGTGTCGCCAACCCTTGCATACTCGCGGCTCTCGGACTTGGTCAGCAGAAGCAGTTGCTCGCCCGGTTTGCGAGGTGGCAGTAACGGTTGGCGGGTGTAGCCTTCACCGTCCGCTAACGTTTCTGGAAGCGGTCGATTGCGAGTCTCGGGCAGCAGCAAGATGCAAATGATGCAGATAAGAGTGCAGCAGGCGAAAATTATGTGATGCAGAAAATAGCCTTTCTGGTTATGCAGCTCCATGATGGGTGCCGTCAGCATGCCAAAACCAGCACTGGCCAGGACGAGGCCTAGACCGCCACCCCTAGACAGCACACAAAGAACAAGGAAAATATATTTTTCAAAACACAAGTGCCCCTATTATGGATTTTTTAAAAATTACTTTTCATGCAGTGTGTAACAGCTCTAAGTGAATGAAAACATCCTGCAAAGTTTTAAATCTAAAAGTGCACCGTGTATAAAGTTATTGTTTCTCAAAAGAAAGCGTCGACACTGAATCATTGAAATAAGTCATTTTTAAAACGAATCCCAAGCAGTTTCATGTTGACGTCAACATGAAACATTAGCATATTGCCCACCCACTTGTTGCGCGTGCAGACCTGGGAAAACTTGATTTTCGCGTTGGTCTGAATGAAAATGCAAATTCATTTGTTGCCACTAGGTGTCGCTTTTGGAGCTGTAAAATAGCTGTTTCCCCGGTAACGGCTGTAAACAAAGCAGCACCGCACTCACAAATGCTGCTTTTATTATGAAATGGAAACGAAATCGACCAATCACCGAAGATTAACGTCACGCAAAAGAGGGTTTTGGAAAAATGAAAAAGTCGTTGAGCAAATAAGGTAAAAATAAATGCATATTATAAGACAATGAAAGTGTTTTTTTTGCATGTATGTCCACCTGTTGATGGGGACTCCCAAAACCAAAATATGAACCTTTCATAATCCATAATAAAGGCACTTTAAATATCAATGGGTTTTAGGCACATTTTATCATCTGGCATAACTGGAATAAAATATCCACAAAAAGCAACTATGAAAATAAGCGCTAGGCTCAGTCACACCAAGATTTACAAATCGGATGCAAATTACACTACAATACAAACAAAAAAGATCTTTGACCTTTTTGATTTTTTCCCATAATCTTAAAAGTCGTCCGTGTGGTTTAGCTCACCTAATCACAGTTGGGGTGATTTCAGCACAAAAAAAGATGCTTAGGTTGCTGACAGCGTGGGAGGAGAACATGCCAATGATGGAGAAAGCCATTGAAAAGTTGGAGTTCAGTGTACCAGAGTCGTCTGTGGGGAGTGAGAAAGACAACATGGTGAGTCATTTACTAATTTTTTCTCTCAAAAAGAAACCTCACATAAGCAGCACAATATAAAAATGGTGTATAGCTCATAAAAAATGTTTTCACCAAATGTGCATGTAATGATATTTATTGAAATAATGCTGAAAGGGGGATATCTTGAAAAAAATGTATTTTATAAAATTAATTAAAATTATAATGTTTTTATTTTAAATTATTTTTTGTGTCCATTGCACAAACCCACACGAATTAAATTAAACTGTCAAATTAAGTACTTTGAAACCTGACAGAAAGGCTTGAAGGCCTTTTTTCCCAAATACTGCTCACTATCAAATTAAACTTTTTTTTTTATTTTTTTTTTAATTTATTTTTCTTCATTGCTTATTTTGTTTTGGGTTAATAATAACAACAACAACAGCAACAACAATAATAATAATTTAAATATTTTTATTAAATTATAAACATTAAAACAATAAAGAAATATATTACTACATAGCAATAATGGTTGCACTTTATTTTACAGTATGTGTATTTACAGTTCCTAAGAAAGTACTGGTAATATAAGGTAACTACATGGGCTAGGGTTAGGTTTAGAGATAGGTTCAGGGTTAGTACCTAGTTATTGTAATTACTATAATAAGTACATAGTATGTACATGAGGAACAGGACTGTAAAATAAACTGCTACCACAATAATACTATTGTACTGTAAACTAAAGTATTTAGTAGTAACAATAATAACAATCCAAATGTCTTAATTTGTAGAGGTTCTATAGTTTATATAGAGATCTTATAGCTTTTTTTTTTGTTGACAACAGATTTATAAACTATTCTCAAATTTGGGAAGCTGGTCCATGTCATACGTGATCAAAACTCACAGCAGTTGCACAAATTACAGAGATTGTGTGAAGCTAAAGCAAACTGATCCACGCCAGGACACTGGAAGCAGCGGATTATGAGCTGCTCGTGTGTAAATGAACACAGTGCCGCGATTCGCTCTGAAACATACGGCCAGTTATCGCCGAACTCGTGAGTATCACCTTTTCATAAACTCACAAACACAGATTTTTATTCACATGCATGCGGAGAGGACCCTGGCCGAGACACTAAGGGTGTTCTGCACACAGTCACTAGATGGCACCGCTAGCTTGTGCAATGCTGTTGGGCGCTACACTATCCATGCATGAAATAAATTATTACAAATGTATATGAAAATGCATCATTCCCCCCCCCTGGTTTTACACAATTAATGCGGGTCATACTTCTCAAATCGGAAAATATAGAAATACAATGGAAAAATCACATCTCTGAATACTGTAGATCCCTGTCTGTGTAAAGACAAGAGAACATAACAAAAGAATCCTCTTAAAATGAAACGTTAAGACCAAAGGATCATAGGCATCTTTTGCCAACCAAAACAAATAAAAATAATAGCTTACAGAAGATATGTACAACACAGAAAAAGCATCTTCAATCCGCTATTCTTCATAACTTAGTCCATACGTGTAACGCAAAATAAATGAGAGCTTACAGTCTAGAGTCTAGACTGTAATTTATATAAAAAAATGCAATTATATCAGAAGTGCCTACAAGTATTTAAGAGTAGGAATAAAGTGTTTCATGGGCAAATAATTGATATTAATATAATTGGATGTGGCGTCCTTGCGTGCAAATAGCTTCTGCCTTTATTGTTTGTCACTTCATTGCACTTGAAATTGGGGTTAGTACTAATTGTGCAGTATTTTGTGAACTGTGAATGAATAACTACTTAGTACTGATTTATTTATTTGTTTTTTTGTGAATAAATACAAAAATATTATTTGAAAAACTGCTGACTGCTGTTAATAAAAGCTTCAGTACATCTGGTCCAAAGTGTCACTTTTTTTTTTCAGTTTAGTGTGTAAATTCTGAATTATTATAGTGTTTTGTTACTTATTATACACAGCAATAAAGAGAAAACTGCATAAATAGCATAGTGTTTATACTTTACCAATATTCAGGTGAACACTGTACTTCCCCACCACTTCATTCATCGTGGACGCATCACATAGAGGGAAAAAATCAAATAACAAATGAGAAACTAAAGTAGTTTGCAGCTCAAGGCTAGTAATGAAATATATGCATGTGTGCTTATAAATACGAATATAAAACTCAGTATGCTTCAAATGATCAGGGATGAAATCCAATTAAGCCCTTTCATTAATATGCTCTTCTGTCATTTATAAACCATAAGTCTGGTGGTGCACAACAGGTTTAACGGCATTTTAGTACTGGAGAGCAATTTTAAGGGAAGCAATTCTGGAGCAAAAATTTCAGACAGCAGTAAACCTGGTAAAGTCAGATTTTTTGTGTCCAAAATCACATACTGTCAGAGTACAGTAGGTACTATAGTTGATGAAGAACTTAGCGAGCATTAAAAAGGTTTCTTCTATATAAAGAATGCATGTGTGTAGTATAAACTCACTACAGACATACTACACCCCCATGCTGTCACGTGACCATCAGTTGCGTCACTGCCGTGTCCTCTCGGGATGTGCACACAGCATGCAAATCAATAATCAGCTTTTGAGCTTGTGATACATTCACAATGTTAACATGCACACCAGACAGACAGTAATAGCAAGTGAGCTGCTTAACCCTATAGATCCCACTGTATCATATTTGATCCACACATTTCTAAAATACCAACATTATCAAAACTCTGCTGGAAAACCTGTTGTACACAATCTGCTTCATGCCTCATGCCGGCTTCTCCGGCAGAAACTCAGATATGTTAAAGCGCTTTAAAGACTTAAACGGTGCGACAGTGATTGTGTTTGGTTGGGTTTAAGCCCTCACAGAGGGTCGTCCTGTGTGTTTGTGATTTGTGTGTTCTCTCACAGTTTAGCAGGCCGAGCTGAAGGAGAGAGGCCAGGGCTGTGATGATCATAAACATGAGGAGTCCCCCGCGCCGCCCCATCACGCCCACGGCAGGGCAGAGCGCCACACACGATGCCACAGCAGTGCCCCCCATGGTGTAGTATTTGGCATAGAAATTAGAGAAGATGGAGGTCGGCTGGTCTTCCGTCAGGCTGCGTGCAAAGCAGTGGTGTATCCCGTAACCTGTCAGTCTGAAAGACAAACAGAGGTTTTTGGATGCCAGAGTTAAAGGGACAGTTCACCCTAAAATGAAAATTCTGCCATCATTCACTCGCCCTCGTGCCTTTCCAAACCCAAAAAACATTGTCTTTAAAACACAAATAAAGATTTAACCCCTTATAATGCATTCCAGATTTTTTTGCATTCTGAGTCCATTTGGATCTGAACAAGTCATAATTCCATATTGTATCTCATTAGCAACGTCTCATTAATGAGTGAATGTGAAAAAATTAACAGTTTTGAATTTCAAATTACACATGAGCCACACACACAAAAAACGCATTTTACAGAGATACTTATAGATAGTTTTACAGAAAGTATTTCTGACACATAACGTTACACCCAGGCATCCAAAATTACCCGAACAATTTTTTTTTTTTTTTTTAATGTGTATTTTGAGGATCTGAGTATATGTAAAGTTTCCTTCCCTCACTAAAGGCTATGCAGTTTTCTTTTGTTAATTTTTTTTTTTAAAACATTTTTTGTAAGTGTCTCTTCCAGGTCAAAACAGACCCGAATGCATTACGAGGGTTAATGAGGCCTGAGAGGTTTCTGTCCCTCCACTGAAAGTCCATGTAACCAAAATTTACAAGATCCTAAAGGGTCATTAAAGCTGTTTATCAAATAAAGCAAATCTCTTCACAAGACTTTAATTCAATAGCTCCGTTCATAAGGAATCATTCATTTCATGACGACTTTATGACCTTTTTGGATTTTCTAAGTTTTGGTTTTGGAAATGAGGGTGAGGAAATGGCAGAATTGACATTTTTTTGGGTGAACTACCCCTTTAAAATCAGCAGAATGTTTTTCATTATTAAGCATCCTATGCATAATATAAAGATATTTACGAGTTGACGCAGAGCACTACTATATTCTTCCACAGGTTCCTTGTGCCAACCATCTTCACAATGCATGTCTTCTTGGCTTGCTTTGGCAGGGCTTGGTTTAGCTCTGAAATCAATGCAGAAAACAAACAGCTTAATCAAACCCCGAGGAGATACCCCCTGACAATGTAAAGCGCTTTGAGTGCCTTGAAAAGCGCTATATAACTGTAATGAATTAAACATTTCAGAAAAAAATTGGTTTATGGGATAACAAAAGGGATGACATTGCCTTCAATCATTTTGACAAAAAGTCTGTTTTCTTCACATTCATATTCCACATTCTTGAGTTTTGTAATTTAATTGCAGCTGTTCATAATACATCATATCATGAGCAATGATCACCAAAGCATGAATCAAACATACTTAACATGGCTTTACAGGCCAGTATCTCACAGGATATGCATCAGTGTGCTCTACTCTCTTTAAGGGATAGTTCACCCAAAAATGAAAATGTGATGTTTATCTGCTTACCCCCAAGGCATCCAAGATGTAGGTGACTTTGCTTCTTCAGTAGAACACAAACAAAGATTTTGAACTCAAACCGTTGCAGTCTGTCAGTCATATAATGTAAGTGAATGGGAATCACGGGTTTGAGAGTCAAAAAACATACACAAACAAAACCAAATTAAACCCTGCGGCTCGTGACGATACATTGATGTGTAAAGACACGAAACGATCGGTCTGTGCAAGAAACGTTACAGTATTTATATTGTTTTTTACCTCTGATTCACCGCAATGTCTGAACTGTTCGAACTGTCCTGAGCGGCGGCGCGTCCTCCTGAGCGTCTTCTTCTTCTTCTTGCTTTATGGCGGATCACAGACTTATAAGTACATTACCGCCACCTATCTCTCAAATGGACCATTGACACTCCTAATTGAGATTGTAGATAGAGTGTCAATGGTCCATTTGAGAGATAGGTGGCGGTAATGCACTTATAAGTCTGCGATCTGCCGTAAAGCAAGAAGAAGAAGAACTCAGGACAGTTCAGACATTGCGGTGAATCAGAGGTAAAAATATAAATACTGTTCAGTTTCTTGCACAGACCGATCGTTTCGTGTCTTTACACATCAATGTATCGTCACGAGCCGCAGGGTTTAATTTGGTTTTGTTTGTTTGTGTATGTTTTTTTGACTCTCAAAGCAGTGATTCCCATTCACTTCCATTATATGACTGACAGACTGCAATGGTTTGAGTTAAAAATCATCATATGTGTTCTACTGAAGAAACAAAGTCTCCTACATCTTGGATGCCCTGGGGGTAAGCAGATAAACATCACATTTTAATTTTTGGGTGAACTATCCCTTTAAATTAGACATGAAAAGCTAGTTTACTATGACTGACTTTACTACGATATTGTGATGAACAAGATAAATCCGTTTCATTCATTGCTGCTTATAGGACTGAGAAAAGTAAGCACTGCATACTGTAATGAATACAGTGATGAATGAAATTGGCTTAGCTGTAGCACAGTCTGGCAAATGTCAGCAGCTTGAAGTTAAGTTACAGGAATTACATTTTGATCAAAGATAATGAGGTCGTATGCATGGATTTAAATGCACAAAAACAAGCCCATTAACATGCATTAACAAAACAAATAGGGTAAATTTTGATTTAATGCGGACTTCAGCTCCAATTGGTTGTCAACGAATTAAGTCACAAACTTAATTAATGCAACAATTAATGCAATCAATGGTTGCAGCTTTCACATGCTGGATGACAAAAATCAAGATGTAGTTACTAGGTTTTGCCTTTGCAGGGCACTTTTCTCCTGAAATGTTTACACTGCCAGCAGTAAGAGCCACGAACACAACTAACTGTTGACTTTAGATTGTGCACGCCTCCGTCTGACGGTGACTCAGGTCTTGTAAATGCAGGATACGGGATTAGCTAAACCGGTTTTGTATTCCACAGAATAAAGTCATACCAGTGTTGAACAACATGATGAAGAATATAAATAATGGTGAATCACTTGGACATTTAAATGCATTATGAAAAACAGGGAACAGGCCTACATTTGAACAGTTGTGCAGCCGGCGCATTTCACTGAGAATTAGGGCTGTCAAAAAAAAAAATGAATTTCAAATATTCGTCGAATTAAAAAAAAAAATCCACATTTTAGGTCTGTGTCAGCCGTCAGGCAGCCTTATCAGTAGCACACGAGATGCATGACGATGTATGTGTCATTGATTGCTTTTGAATGCTTTTGTTAGCCTATCCAGTTGAACCCACTAGATGCGGCACTGCTACGTCATTCATTCAACATATTGCGGAAAATGAGAGCATCAGTGTGGAGATGTTGTTGTTCACGTCAAAACTGAAACCAAGCCGTTCACACAGAGCGAATATTTATCACATTTTCTAGAGGGACATCTATCAGCGTTGTACTCGCGTCTCGCACAAGAGAGTGGCATGCTTAGAAAGCCATGTAAAATTAATGCAAGTTCAACTTTTAAAAAACATGTCTAAAGACGTTATGGCGGTTTTTCCCATCCCACTGTATCTCAAGTTTTTAAATGAAGTAAGTAGCCTACTATTTGTGATTGGTTTTCGGTCCTTTGTATTAAACTATACATGCATGCATGGTGCTGTTTTTTTTTCCTAATTGTTTAAGCAACTTTATTAATTATATATGGTTTATAAACATTATTTTAAACATTATGCACTTTTTTTCAAAGACAGTCGTGTTATTTTATTACGCTTTGAAGAAACGTGCATAATAGTTTGCTCGATTCGCCCTCTTGTGGCCTCGGGAGAGAAGCCAACTGAAATGATGCCTTTTAAATTCGAATATAATTCGAATTTTGATAATATTTAAGTAGAAAATTCGAATTTCGTTTTTCAGTCATTTTGACAGCCCTACTGAGAATTTTGAATTAGTTTACACTAATTTGTGCGGATTAACCACACGGGCAATTGAGCAACTTATTTTTCTCCGGTAAGAGAAGCAATGAAGTTATGTATAGAAATTGCTGTTTATTGCATCAAGACCATCTATTCACTGTCCCATTTTGGGAAAATAAGACATAGAATAGTCTGTCAAGCTTTCTTTGAAAGCCCTAAAACATTTCGGGAATTATTTAGTAAATTAAAACATGAGCTGAATGACGCCGCACTTTGTTGCCCATGGAATCTGAAGTGCCAACAGTTTGTATTTTGAGGATGTCAAAAACTAGTTTGCATTGCAGTATCTAAATCTAGAAAGAATTCTACACAGATTGATTTTTTAATGCGAGGTTGGTTGTGATTGTTTTCTCTGACTGGTAAATTATGTTTTTAGTAATTTTGCCATTGTTCAGATTTTGTTCAGATATTTTGCAGCATGCATCTTTCAAATGTATATCTGATCTAAAACATATGGTTATTATATTAAAGCTGTAAGCTGTTGGGATCACTAGTTCTAAACCTAATTAACTTATAAAGCTTATAAAAGTCCAGTGTTTGTTTTCTCTTTGCTTGTATACCTGTCATGAGCTCCTCTGCGTCCTCCTCTAGGTTGATGTTGTTCTTCTTGGCGACGCGCTCCATGATCCATTTGGAGCGATTGTACTGCTGCGTCGCAAGCAGCCAGCGCAGAGACTCCGGAAAAATCCTGATGAATGAAAACAGATATACTTTACTATATTATGATAACATCATATCAAACTACAGAGACTAATCTAATCTGTTCTGGGCTAAACACTTAGCAGAAAAACAGAGAATTATCACTGAAAGTTAGCTGCTAAATAAAGAACTAAAACAATGAAACAAAGCAACTTACACAATTATTTATTTGTTTATTCACTTTTTAGGCTATTTCCATGGCGATCTCTGAATAAATTATACAAGGTATACAATTAACAAAAGGTTATAAAAGACATTTCAGATGTACACTAGACAAAAATTCTAAAAGGAATTCAGGTGATACATTTTTTAATAAATCAGTCAGACACACCTCTGAATAAAACCGTTGTCTATTTACATTAAAAACAGTACAATCCAATAAAATATGTTTCACCGTCATTTTATTTTGGCAAGTAAGGCATGATGGTGGTTTTTCACCTTTTAATAAATAAATAGACATGTGTAAGTCTTGTATGACCTAAAATACACCTTGTAAAAACAACTTGGTCATACCTAGATTTAAAATTATTAAAAAAAATATATATATTTGTTTCAAGGATTTGTTTCATATAACTTATTTTCATGACTTTTATCCCATTCCGTCTGCCACATGTCATTAATATAAGAGTTTATCACAGGTTTGACATCACAAAAAGGAACTTGACACTCAGAAATATTCAGTTTGAGTTTTGCAGTGATATCTGCTTTCTCGTTACCAGAAAAACCCATATGACCTGGAACCCAGCAGAAGAAAATACTGACGTTTCTCTTGCGTAAACAGTCTGCTTTGGCTAAAACCTTTATATTTACACGATTAGAATAAAGTTTAAAGAATAAAGTGAACATTTGTTGATTTGCAGTATTTTTTCACGTCTCATATGGAGACAAAATCCTTCTACTATCACAATATCTTAATTTATTTTGTTAAAACATTTATGTAAATTAAAATATGTTAAACAAGAAAATTGTTATGTACAAATGTTACATTTAGTATACTGTACATTTAAATCATGTACACTGACATTGTTCGTTTATTTTTAACGCCATGTCAAAAGCAAGGCTATCTTCGCGGCACAAACAAAGTGAAATAAGTTGCACAATTAACAAAGATTATTACAAGACAAAAATTCTAATAAAGCAATAAGCCCCGAGAAGCCGTGGTTTACAGTGAATTTATAACAGCTAAGGGGCGTTGTTAGGCACGACGCGAAGCCCTTAGCCGTTATAAATTCACTGTAAACCACGGCTTCTCGGGGCTTATTGCTTTTATAAAATGGTTATTCCATATACGTAGTTAGGTTTCACAAAATAAAACAGAGCAAATAAAGTGTAATGATATTAATAAAAACAGTATTCTTCCACCAAACAATGTAGTTCCTCAGAATCAGTTGTGGTTGCAACAAAGTGGTTGCCGAGCAACAGACAAACGTAAACAAAGGTGTGTGTTTGTAGAGTAATTTACAACAGCTTCGACCGCGGCTCCGCCAATCAGAATCAAGGACCGGAACTCTCCGTTTTATAAAATACATTAAAGGGGATACTAAAAATGTAAAAATAAAGAAATATATATACACTGTAGTTTGACAGGAAAGGCATGATGGTGGTTCTTCTTCGCCGTTCCATAAATAACCATATGTAAGAATGACCTAAACGCCACCTGGTAAAAACAACTTGATCATGTTTCGATGTGAAAGTACTAATATACTTAGTTATTAGTACTAATAGTTCTTATAGTACGATTATTTCATATAGCATATTGTCACAGCAGTGCTCTTATTCCATCTACTACTTGTTAGTAATATAAAATTTTATTTGCATACTGACGTGAGATGATATGCTGTATAAAGCTGTTTTATTTTACACAAAGCACATCGCCAGTTGAATTACTTGCATTATTATGATAACCTGATTTTGGACTATTTTTGCTCACAGAATATATTAATAATGCTTGATAGTAAATTGTGCATTTTTACAATGGCCTGAGTACCAAAAACGTTTGCTTTTGAGTGAAATAATGTAAGTAAATATATGATTATTATTGTTTGAAGTATTCTATTTTTGTGCATTTCATTTTTTTTTGTTTTAGCTGATGCCCATTTTCCAAACCATGTGTTATATAATCCTTCTGATGTGTTAAAGTGGTTCTGCATTATCTGTGCAGTTGGAAATGATTCTGCCGCTTAATAAAGTGCGCAAACAGTAGTGCAATGTCTTTTTTTTGGCAGCTGAAGTCTTGAGTGCACTTGCAATTTCAGAGTCACTGTAAACTCACTGTCACCGTCAACAAGTCAAATTTTGGTTTTAAGAACAGCCAAACACAAACATATTTTTGAATAGCCATGGCACAGTTGCTTACCAGATATAGGACAGCATGAGTAAGAGAGGGCAGATTACGACTGCTTGCAGAACCTGCCAATCACGACAGAGGACTACCAGTCCCGGCATGAGCAACTGCCCCGCTAATGCCACGAAGTTTGCCACCATGGTCATGGAGAAACGGCATCCCGGCAGACACAGCTCTATCCCTGCAGACAAGAAAACGCATCCAACATTAGAGTCAGTTAATACACCTCCAAATAGTATAGTACATTGCTTAAAACCACCGGCTTTTTGCGGCTGCAAAGCAAAGCAGCAACTTGCCATGTTATTAGATCTAAATTGTGTGTGTGTGTGTGTATATTTTATGACTTAAAGGGATAGTAGACCCAAAAATGAAAACTGTCATCATTTACTTGTTCCAAACCTGTATGACTTTCTTTCTTCTTTTGAAGACGGTTGATGCTAGCCATTGACTTTCATAGTATTGGGAAAAATAAAAAAATCATTGGTACCAGCTACTGTCACCAACTTTCTTCAAAATATCTTCTTTTGTGTTCAACAGAACAAAGAAAGGTTTGGAACAAGTAAATGATGACAGAATTGTCATTTTTAGGTGAACTATCCCTTCAAGGCACATTGCAAATGCCATATTTCACCATAACATGACATTATTCAAGCTTTTAAAGAAAGTTTGAGCCATATTAGGTATGTTTCCATAAAAGTTGGAAATTTAACTGTTGCAACATTGCGTAAAAGTTGCAACATTGCGTAAAACATTTGCGAATAAAACACTGTTTCCATCCCATGTGTTCAAGAGAACAAAACTGTCACTTCATTGGAAACTGGTGCAAAGTATTAACAATAAAAATGAAAGTTGCCGCTAATACCTATATACTTTCCTACACTGTAAAAAAAAAAATCCGTAAAATTTATGGTAAAAAAACGGCAGCTGTGGTTGCCGGAATTTTACCGTAAAAAATACGGTAGCAACATTTTAGGTTTTACTAACCGTACTAATACCGTAATTTCACTAACTGAAATAATGTTAATATACCAACCTACTGAAGTACTGAAATCTGTTTTGTAGCTTTGTAATACACTGATAACCACCAAATGCAGGTGGTGATGAGAAAGTCACATGACGAACCAAAGCCCATCACAAGCAGCTTTTAAATAATAACATATATAGAAGGTGCTCATCATGTTCCAAAAACTGCTCATCATGTTCTACAGACACGGTTTCAGAGATTTTCCTTTACTTAAGGGACCTTAAACAACTATGTAATGCATGCATGTCATCTGTCTGCAATTAATTCAGTGACTCATTAGTATTCATAACGCAGAAGCACGGGTGGTCTTCAATGACAGACCAGCACTGCAATATCAAATGATGGCAAAACCACAGAACAGACAGCAGGCTCTGACATGGGTTTGAGCTTTCCAAGGTGACAGGACTCAGAAAAACACTCCGGCGTGAACACAGTGACTGCACAATCCTTCAGAAAAGCCCAGAATATCAATGAGCAGCACTTCCCACAGGAACTGAATCATGCTCTGTGCTCAAAGACGGAGCTCAGTCGTGAAGCTGACAGGGAAAGAACTCTGTTTCTCAGCTAAAAGAGCAGGGGCTGCATTACTAACACATCCCAACTCAGAACCCTATCTGTAAAAAAAAAAAAATCATTTTTTCATCAATTCTTTCGAGTTTGAAATCACATAACAAAAGATATGTTATGTGATATAACAACAGTGTAACTATTAATTATTTTAGAAATATGAGCTGTTGCATTGAATGTCACAAAAAAGTAATTTAGATGAACTTGCTTCAAATACGGGGAAGTAGGGGAAGTCGTGGCCTAATGGTTAGAGTCGGACTCGTAACACAAAGGTTGCGGGTTCGAGTCTCGTACCGGCAGGGATTGTAGGTGGGGGGAGTGAATGTACAGCGCTCTCTCCCACCTTCAATACCACGACTGAGGTGCTCTTGAGCAAGGCACTGAACCCCCACCTGCTCCCCGGGCGCCGTAGCATAAATGGCTGCCCTCTGCTCCGGGTGTGTGTTCACGGTGTGTGTGTGTTCACTGCTGTGTGTGCGCACTTTGGATGGGTTAAATGCAGAGCACTAATTCCGAGTACCATTCCGAGTAAGTAATTCACCATACTTGGCCACATGTCACGTCACATATCACTTAAATATCTGAAATCTGAACAATTTAACAGATTTAAAAGTGAAAAAGTAGTGTATTTACATCAAATGACTTGTCCACAGCAGTGTTGCTTTAGTATAATTTCTTTTTATGTTTTTTTAATGTTTTTTTTTTTTTTTTTACATTTTTTAAACCAATTTCCGTTTTTAGTTATTTTAGTACATCAAGTATCCATAATATTCCCAACAAGCAACTATTATCAATAACAAGCCCGAGAACAGTAAGATTGCTTTCCAAAGTTCAAATTCAAGTGGAAGAAATTAAAATATGACATCCCGAAAACGGCGTCTTTAAACATTTAAAGGACATGTCAATATTTTGTTTTCATTTTGATAATAATATGTGTTCATCAATCTGCTTTCCTGGGTTACACACTAGAGACAACTGAAAGATATGAATGTACGGAGCCCTGTTAGGGTCATGCAGGTGAAAACAAAGACAGCATACGATGCTGTAAACAAACAGCCTTTATACTGTAAGGAAGTAAAGTGTGTGTGTAAAGTGCATCCTGAAGCCTATTTATAGCGTTTAAGCTCTGATTTCTAAGTGAACAGATTGTGATTTCACGCAAAATACAAGAGCTGTTCTTTTTGAATAGTTTGTCTAATGTTAGTGTTTTGCAAATAGTTTGTTTTGCTTTTGCAGAGCGAGTAAAGCAGATAATGCGCTTGTGGTTTCGCAGATTTGATAAGAGGATTTGGTAGATGAGTTAATTAATTGAGTGAGCCTCAACTACCACTTTCAGTGAAAAAACTGAACACACACACACACACACACACACACACACACACACACACACACACACACACACACACAAACCTGTAACTGTCATAATTTTTATTCCCAGTGAAGGACTTCAATAACATTTTGTGAAAATAAAATAAAGGTTTATGGCTTAATTTCTAAATGACACACACACACACACACACACACACACACACACACACACACAAAAGACAAAATATGAAATAAATTAATAATTGCTTGTAAACACAATTATAGCCACACAGCATGTTTATGTGGCAGAATAAATGGCAGGTTTGTGCATCAACGAGCAGTTTATCATCATGTCAATTTATAAACATGTTAAAGTGTGGCCACAAATTGTGTTTTATTGAGAGTGAAGGAAGCTTACTGATGAAACATCACTCTTGGAAATGTGTAAATAGCAATGAGTAAATGTGTACACCATGGGTGCTTTTCACTGGCGGGGGAAAAGTAATACTTCTCAAGTTGTTTTCGATAAAAGTGTCTGCTAAATTAATAAATGATTAACCAATAAAGCACCAGAAATAACAATCAGTAACCAATGCAACCATATGAGATATGAAATCACTGAATCAGTGGTCGGAGACGAATAAACTGACAGGAAGAACCACAAATTTGTGAGTACTGTGTGTGTGCAAAATCATTTTTAAATATACAGTTATTATAAATTGTGATAATATTTCACAGTACTACTGTTTTATAGTATTTTTGATCAAATAAGTCTTGGTGAGCAGAACTTCACTAAACAGCAAGACTTCACTAAAAACATATAAAAATCACAACATCTCAACTTAAACTGTACCTCCTAAATGAACCTCTTTTCTCTTGCTTTTAAAAAACCTTCACGTCTATCCTCCCTTAAAACGCTGCCTATGAAGGCTGCTTACTAGGTTTTGGAACAAAGCC